ACAAAAGAGGTTTCATTGAATAAATTAGGGTTGATCTCCCTGTAGTGGAAATCTATTCAACTCACTGCTGTTGAGTTGGAACTGACTCATAATGACCCCTCCTTGGATTTCTGAGGTGGAATCACTACGGAAGTAGCTTGCCCTACCTCCCTTCCAAGTAGTGGCTGGTGGGTTTGAACTGCCGGCCTTCTGGTTAGCAGTTACATGCCTTTCTATACAACCATTGAAAATTATATTGCAGAATAGTATTTAATATTGTTGAGTTTAAAGAAGTTTAATAAATAATGCCTATACTAGGATTCCTGATTTGTTAAATAAATAAATAAAAAGGATATGTATAAATATGTTTTAAAATAGAAAGAATGCCAAAATACCAAAATGTTCATAGGCATTAGCAGTAGATGATAGAAGATGACATATTGTATTCTTTGTACATTTATACATTTGCAAGGTTTGTACAATTAACAGGAATTACTCATATATAGAAATAATCATTACATTGAAACATTTACTAATTCATTTTTCTTTTAAAGAAATAAAATGGGATTAATTTTTTTTTTACATTCCATATTTTCAGGAATTAAGACATAGTTTTTCCCTTAAAAGTAATGAGGTTTTACTTTATTGACATATTACAAATATTAGTTACTTGAAAGCAGAGACAGCTAAACACTAAAGCCTGGAAACAATAGGGAAAATTCATTATGTTCTTATGACCAGAAATAAAACAAAAGACACCAAACAGAAGGGGAGTCACAAAATTATGAGCTATCATACAGTTCTTATCTGCATACAAATATGCCTTAATATTAGAATTCTAGAAATAAATTTGTCCTTGCCTCCTCTATGTACCCAATCTCAGATATACCCCATATAGTAGTGCTTCTGGTAGTACAGTGGGTAAGGCATTTGGCTGCTACCCAGAAGGCTGGTGGGTCAAACCCACCAGCTGCTTTGCAGGAGGAAGAGGAAGCAATTTACTTCCATAAAGATTTACTGCCTTGGAAACCCTTTGGAAGTTGCTACGAGTCAGAATTGACTCAATGGCAGTGAGCTTTGGTTTGAGTATTGCTCAGAAGAGGCGGCATTACTCACGCTCTCCTCTTTGCATCACATTCCCACTCACCCTCCTCCGATCAGGTCCTTCCTCCCCCTCAGTCCACAGAAAGTACTCTCTTCAAGGTCACTACACCATTGCCAAATCCAATGTCAACCATCTGATTCATTTAACTCCATCTCTCAGCAGCATTTCACATAGCTTCTTACTCCCTCTTTCCTGAAATACTTTTTTCACTTGGGTTCCAAGACACCATATTCCTTTTACTCCTCCTTCCTCACTCTTCATCCCTTGTCTTTCTCTTCCTAAACTCTAAACAGGTGATCTCATACAGTCCCATAAATATGTCTATGCTTACAACTACCAAATATATATTTCTCCTGAACTCTAGACTCATATGTCCAACTACCTACTCAATATCTCTTGGATTCCTAATAGGCATCTCAAACTTAATGTCATCTTAATGTGACTTAATATGTTCAAAAATGTAATTTATGTAAAAACCCATTGCTAATGAGTTGATTCCGACTCATAGTAATACTATAGGACAGGCTAGAACTGCCCCACAGGATTTCCAAGACTATAAATCTTTACGGAAGCAGACTACCTCATCTTTCTCCCACAGAGCAACTAGGGGTTTAAAATGCCAACCTTCTGGTTAGCAGCACATTCTTTAACCTCTGAACCACCAGAGCTCTGATACATTAACTACCTTAAGTTAACATTTGTCTATATCATTCATATTTGTAATTATGCATTCAAGTTGGTCAAAAGAAATTTTGGGACTCATTGCAGTAGGAAAATGGTATCAGGGCATTACCTATTATCTAAGATTTTCTTATAATCAGATTTATACAATAAATTACTTATTTATTTGTTTATATCCTTATTGCTTTTCTCTGCCCACTATTGTTTTCCCCAGTTCTAGAAGGCAGGAACTTTGTCTCATTCACCACTATTTCTCTAGCTCCTAGAAGAATGCTGACATACGTGAACCTCTAAGACATATTTATGGAAGGAAAAGGTTCAGGTTAAAAAAAAAAAAAAAAAAAAAGCCTTCTGATTCTTTTCAGATATAGTTATCTAGATATGGAAAATGATTACCAAACAATACAGTTTTATCCATTAAAAAGACCCAGAAAACAAACTGTTTCCAAAAGAGAGTTGAAGTTACTATTGCCAAGATATCTATGCTACTTAAATTGTTCTAAAAACTGCTAATAATCCTCCCTAGAAATCATACAGCATTGGCCAAAGTAAGTAAGCTAGAGCAAGTTTTTAACCTGTATGTATGGCTGATGTTTATATCTAGTATCTTTTAATGTACAACTTACCTATATTTATGGGCTGAACTGACATTACAGGTGACTGAAAAATTACTCCACCAGATGTGATTTCCAAAAACATAAGATAAGTATAGTTGAGTTTGGATGTTGACACAGGGACATAACATTCACAACATTCATGAAGACTGCAGTTGCACTGAACAATCTTAAAACTGTCTTTCTGGGGGGGTAGAGATAAATCTAATACTTCAGACCTATAATAAGATAATAAGAGCAAAACATTAACATATGCATGTAATTGTTGGGTAGGTTTAAAAAAACACTAGAACCAAATTAAGATAAGCTATTCTGTACCCTCATTTGGCAGGGGGAGAAATATTACATATAGAGAAACAAATATAAGGATGACAGCAGGTTATTTGCCAGAAATAATACAAGCAATAAGACAGTGGAGCAATAGTGAAGTACTGAAAGAAAAAAAAAATTGGCAAACCTAAAATTCAATGTCCAGCAAAAATATCTTTCAAAATTAAGGTGAAATAAAGATGTTCTTTAGACATACAAAAACTGAAAGAATTCAACATCATCTGACCTTACTATAAATAATTAAAGAAAAAATTACATCAGCTCTCAAGACTTGAAAATAAACCTCTGTTCTCTGAAATCCTATGAGAATGGCCTTACCCTCCAGACTGGTTCTTGGCCATACTCTCTGGATTCTGAGTTGAGGTTCCACTGCCCTGAGCTTCAGCTCTGCCTTCTAGGACCACTAAGACAGCAACTCTGCTCCCTCAGCTTTGGGTGCCCCTTTCTACTAGTCCATCTGAATGGCCCACCACCTAGCCCTCAGCAGGCCCCATTCTTCTGCCTCTTGGTCTCACCTGGGCAGTCTCTCTCTCTCATCTTTTGGTGGCAGCCTCATCACAATGGCATACCTTAATGACAGCCTCACACTCCAGAATTGAGTTGGCAAAGATCTGACTTTTTGAAACCTAGGAGGCTGTGGCCCTACTCTTTGAGACCCAGGAAATCATGGCCCCAGGCTTTGAAAAAAAGAAGGCCCTGCTTCTCACACTCTTTCCATCACTTATGCTGATCTCCAAGCTGCTCGAGGGATGGATCTCTTCTTTTACTGGAGGAAAACAGATGTAGCTCCTTTGGCCTGTTTCCTGCCTGTAGAATTCCAAGAGGCAAACAGAGTTCTCGCCTTTCACTCTTTCTCTGTCCACATCAGTCTAAATTGATATGTTTTCTGATGTGGTCATTGGTTAGATCCATCAGTCACAGGCTTAATCTCTTTCATAAAAGCTTGTGTATTCATATCCTTGGTGAAAATTCTAGGACACATGTCCTTAGTTTGTACAACAAAATTTTCCAAATCTTAAAGTTTTCTTTTCATTTTGTGCAGTTCATTTTTAAGTTCATCTCTTTCCTCTTGCATTTTACTATAAGCAGCAAGGAGAAACCATATGGCCCCTTTAAGATCATGCTCAGAAATCTCATCAGCCAAGTATCCAAGTTCACCAGTAACATTTCTCCCTTCTGCCAAACATTTTAACATAATTCAGACAAGTTCTTTTCCACTGCATAAAAAGCATCGCCCTTCCCCCACTGTGTAATCACATGCTTAGAATTTTCTATTAAAGCCTCACCAGAAGCACATTTAATGTCCACATTTCTAGCAATATTCTGTTGCTGGTACTACTATATGTGTCATCTAAGATGACAGACATTTTTTCTGTAACTCTTGTCTCTTCCTTCTAAGCCTCTACCAGAGATGCCTTTGACACACGTAATTCTACCAAAAATCTCTTCAAGGCAATCTAGGCTTTTGCTATTGTTGTTGTTATTTGCCGTCGAGTCAGACCCAACTCATAGCAACCCCTCCTTGAGTTTCCCAGGTGTTACCTTAAAACTCTTCCAACCTCTACCCAATTCCAAAACCACTTCCACATTTTAGGTATCTGTTAGATCAGCACTCCAACTTCTTGGTACCAAATTCTAACTTAGTCATCTAGTAATGCTAAAACAAAAATAACACAAGTATTTTAATAAACAGAAATTTATATTCTCACAGTTTTGGAGGCTAGACGTACAGATTCAGGATGCCAGCTCTGGGGAGAGGCTTTCTCTCTCTGTTGGTTCTACAGGAAGGTCCTTATCTCTTCAGCTTCTGGTTCCTGGTTCCTTGGAGATCTCGGTATCCCTTGGCATCTATCTCACCCATCTTTGCTCACTCACCCGCTTGTTTAATTTCTTTTATGTCTTGAAAGATATTGACTCAAAACTCACCCTAAACTAGGCCTACCTCATTAGTATGTTGTTGTTGTTGTTATGTGCCATCGAGTCGGCCCCGACTCATAGCGACCCCTCCTTGGGTTTCCAAGGCAGTATCACTATGGAAGTAGGATTGCCCAACCTTCCTTCCGAGGAGTGGCTGGTGGATTTGAACCGCCAGCCATCTGGTTAGCAGGCATTAGTATAGCAAAGACAAGCCATTTCCAAATGTGATTATAATCACAACATAGAGGTTAGGATTTATAAAACATATTTTTGGAAGACATAACCCAATCCATAATAATAGCAATTCTCTTCTAATCAATCTCAATGAAAATATTAGCAGAGTATTTGTAGAAACTGATGATATAAATCTAAAATTCATATGGAAAAGCAAAGGAACTAGAACAGGCAAATCAACTTTGAAACTGAAGAACATATTTTGAGGAATAACAATACCTGACTTCAAGGCTTACTATAAAGCTACAATGAAAAAGCCAGTTAGGTATTGGTGTTAACATGGAAAAATAGATTAATGGAACAGAATAGCAAGTCAAGAACTAGACTGACACATATAGGGCCAAATGATATTCTACCAATGTGCAAAAAGCAATTCTGTGGAGAAAAGATCATCTTTTCACTAAAGTGTGCTGAAACATTGAGTTATTCTATGGGGGAAAAAAGTACTATACATACCTTCATATTAGTTTCAAAAATTAACTCAAATGGATCATAGACATAAATGCAAATTTTAAAAAGGATAAAACACAGAACAGAATTTTTTTTTTACCTTGCATTAGGTAAAAATGTCACACCAGAGGCATGATCCAGAAAATAACAATTTGATGAACCAAAAATTATCAAAATTAAAAACTGCTCTTCTAAAGGCTCATAACTATGCAGAGAGCAAAAGGATAAACCACAAACTGAGAGAAAATATTGGCAATCATGTATCTGATAAAAGACTTGTCCAGAACATAAGAACTCTCAAACTCAATAATAAAATTACAAATAACCCAATTAAAAATCAGGCAAAAGATTTGAACAGACATATCCATCATAGACAATATCAGAATGATAAACGAGTATAATAAAAGATGCTCAATATCATTAGTATCTGGGAAATGCAAACTAAAACTACAATTAGATACTACTATCCATATATTCAAATGACCAAAATTAAAAAGACTTAACTATACCTAAATTTGGTCTATATATAAACACAGCATAAAGAAAAATGTGAACTCTAGTCTTCCCATAGGAGCTCTAGTAGTGTAGTGAATAAGGCATTTGGCTGCTAACCAGAAAGTCAGAAGTTCAAACCCACCAGCTGCTCTGTGGAAGGAAGATGGGTCATCAACTTCCGTAAAGATTTGCAGCCTTGGAAATTCAATGCAAGTTGCTATGAGTTGAAATCAACTCAATGGCTGTGAGTTTGGGTTTTTTGGTTTAAGTCTTCCCATACACACTCAATTAGAGAGCTTTGTTTTGAATTATGATAGAATTTCAAGTTTATTGAATTTATTTGTTTAGGTAATAGAATTTATTATTTATTCTTAAAAAAATCAATCAGCTGAAAAACCTATATACAGATATCCATGAGTGTAACCCTATTCGCCTTCCCACCCTTGTTCAGCTTGCATGCTTATGTATCCACTTGTAGATGATTATTATTACTGTTATTGTAGAATTGAGTGTGTAATAGTGTTCACCTTTATTGTATATTGCCTTTTTCTTTACATAAGTTAATATGTGTCTGCCCTCCCACCCCTGGTAACCTTCAAAGAATGTTTCTTTCTGCTACAAACATTTTCTTGACTTTCACAGAAGTGTTCTTACACAGTATTTGCCCTTTTGTGATTGACTAATTTCACTCAGCATAAAGTCCTCTTGGTTCTTCCATGTTAGGAGGTATTTTGCAGATTCATCATTATTCTTTAATGTTGCATAGTATTCCATGTGTGTTTGTACTGTAGTTTGCTTATCCATTCATCCTCTGATCGCATTTATGTTGTTCCTATCTTTTTGCTACTGAGTATAATGCTGTGACGAAAATGGGTGTGCATATATCTGTTCATGTCACAGCTCTTATTTCTCTAGGATACACCTAGTGATGTGATTGATGGATCACATGACATTTTTATTTCCAACATTTTAAGGTAGCACCATACCGTTTTCCACATTGGTTACACCATTTTACAGCCCCATCAACTGTCTATGAGAGTTCCAATCTTTCCATTCCCTCACCAGCACAATAATTCATGACACTTAGAAATGATATAAAATTCAAAATCCAGCATCCATAAACACAGCAACACTTATTTATTTGAATATTAACTATGGCTACTTTTGTGCTGCAAAGGCAGAGTTGAATAGTTCCTACAGAGCCAGTACAGCCTGCAACTCCTACAATATCTGATCCTTTAAGAAAACAGTTTGCCAGCTTCTACTCTACACCAAAAAAAGTCATTTCATTCTCCCTACTGGTGAGTTGAAGAGTAAAAGATGCAAAAATAAAGAAATCACATTTAACGTGCCATCAAATTTCATTATATAACATTTTTAGAATTTACTGAAAATATGTTTAGATAGATGTATTATTTAAAACATTCCTCAAACTACCCTCTAAAGAAACTAATATTGTCTATTTTACAAGTAAGGAAATTGAAGCTCAGAAAGGATGCAGACTATTGCATTATACCAGATGAATGGTGGGCACGATACCAAGGATGTCTAATTTCATAGCATAAATTTTGCTATTACCATTGCCATTTTACTCTGGGAAATTTATAAGGACATTAGTGCCCACAACAAAAGAATAATTACAATCTGATTTGGGTGAATATAAATAAATTGGAATACTAGAGAGTTTTATAATTATTTCAAATTATTTCTTTCTCTGAGGTAAAATAACAAATTTCTCTCATATTTATGAGAGAAGCTTTTCCAAGTCTATGTAAAATCTGGAACCTACTAGCACTGTTGCATGCCAAGGCCAGCACAAGATTGTATTTCACTTTTCAAGGGACTTTTAAAAGTCTTTATAAATACCAAATGATGCTCTGAAACTATGGTAATTTTAAAACATAAGAATTAAAATGGAGAGTTCCAATAAGATGGTGGACTAGGCAAAAAGACTGCACAGACCCTCTTCAACAAAGAAAAGGGAAACCA